TCACATTCTTCTAAACTCTGGAGATTACAGACCAAGTCTCTTCAATCTTTCCTCATGTGACAGTCCCACCATCTCAGGGATCAGTCAAGTGAACCTCTGCTGCACTCCCCCTGCAGCAAGTCTATCGTTCCTCAGTCAAGGGGACCAGAACTGCACAAAATACACTCCTGGTATGGTCTGGTGATGGAGCATTATTTCCCGATGAGACTGCACCGACCCAGGATAGCACTGACCTGGGAATTCTCTGGTCGGAATGTTAAGGTGAGTGAAGGCCTGCAGTTGATCCTTGAGCAGATCTGACAACACTTTTGTCGCTGTGCTAAGTTGACTCAGGTGCTTTGGGACTTCTGGCTGGTTGGCTGGTTCCAAGGGACTGTCTGGACTCTTCTTCAATGTTTCTGATCCCTAACGAGTAAGCACAAGGTGTTTGTGTGATTAAACACTGAGCTCTGCTGAAACACAATGATATCTGATTGAGTGGGTACTGCAGGACTGTGTTCTTGCAGCAAAGCCAGCATCTTCTCTTTTTGCTCAGCACCACTTTCTGGGACAAAGCTCTCAAGGAGAGGGTCTGATTGGGCAACTGCTGATCACCGAAGGTACCACTTTGGTCATAAGTTTAGCGATTGACTGCAGAGGTGTGGTGTCACTATCAATCCACAAAAGACGATGAAAATTACTCAAGGTCACAAGCACAAAGCAACACTCACTGTAATAAACTCACAGCGGGCAGGAGACCAGGACTCATTGACTGTTCTCCGAGGTCGCAGCATGCATTTTGGGGACTGAATGGCCTTCATCTGTGCTTTAAACAACTCGCAACAAGATTGAATTGATAGTTGTAGACAAATACCACGGCATGTGACCTTGAGTGAAATGCAGTTCAATGATGTGACATTGGCTCATGTTGGTACAGTCAGGCAGTGTCAGGACAGCGATAGCCATGTGACTGTGAAGCCTGTGCTCTCAACTCAGCCACTGCACAGAGCTGGACATATAGCAGAGGCAGGAAGGCAGAAGCAGTTCATTTCACGTATGCACTGCCTGAGGACAATGCATGTAAACTGTCAGCAGCAAAGAGTCTGCAATGCAAGTTCTTCACTCAAAGAGTATCACTCAGTCCCCATGCCACGTCAGGTTAGGCCACACTGTTAGAATGAGCTATGCTAATAAATACTGAGGATGCTGGAGAAACTCAGCAGATCTGGCGGTAGCTGTGGAGAGAGACACAGAGTTAATGGTTCCAGTCTGGTATGACTCTACCGTGGAACTGCCCTACATTACAACACGTTTACCAGAAAGTGCACAGTGTGGAGTACAACCCAATGGTTATGGTAGATATGGTAGGCAGCCATCATTTCATTGTCAGAATGACTGGAAACAGGCCCCACCCGGTGTCAAAATCCCTACGGCTTCAGATTGCCACAAAAAAAACCCAACATCAACAATGTACAATAATGTACATTTATGTAGCACCTTTAACAGGATGGAAGATCCCAAGGTGCTGCCCAAGAGGGATATGACACAGAGTCTGACACCGAGTCACATGGAGTACGAGATCAGATGGGTTAATAAGTCAGAGAGATAGGTTTTAAGGAGCATCTTAAATGAGGAAAGTGAGGCGGAGAGAGTTGGGCAGGGATTTCCTCAACTAGTGGTCAAGGGAACCAATGGTGGAGCAGACCCAGGAATCAGTATGCAGCAATGGCCCCTGCATTAGTGAATGGCGATCTCTGATGATCCCTCGACAATAGACCTTTATCCGATGTGACTGTTCCTCAGTGGGACAGATCAGTGACAATAAGGATGAGCTGAGGAGGGAGAGATGGAACAAGCCTGGCACCATCCTTCCCCAGAGAGAGGAAACTTTCCCTGTACACCCTGTCACACCTTGGAAAAGTTTGATCTGTTTGAATGAGACCATCTGTTGGGACCTTGCTGTGTATAAGTGCCTGGCACTATGACACCAACTGAACTTGAAAAGTGTTCCATTGTCTATAAAGTGCTTTGGAAGCATCCAAAAACTATCAAAGGCGGTATAAAAAAAGCGATCCTTTCATTTTCCAAACAGATCCTGAACAGGGTCAATGAGTGACTCAATGCAGCCTTCTCTTGAGCATCTTCCAAACAGCCCGAGATCACTGGTTTCTGAGCTGGAGATGGAAAAGGGGGGTAGGGTGAGTGAGTGAAGACTGTGCAGGAGATGGTAAAGAGGGTAGGGTGAGTGAAGACGGTGCAGGAGATGGAAAAGGAGGGTAGGGTGAGTGAGTGACGACTGTGCAGGAGATGGAAAAGGGGGTAGGGTGAGTTCAGTGAAGACTGTGCAGGAGATGGAAAAGGGAGTAGGGTGAGTGAATGAAGACTGTCCAGGAGATGGAAAAGGGGGTAGAGTGAGTGAGTGAAGACTGTGCAGGAGATGGAAAAGGGTGTAGGGTGAATGAATGAAGACTGTGCAGGAAATGGAAAAGGGGATAGGGTGAGTGAGTGAAGACTGTGCTGGAGATGGAAAAGGGGGTAGGATGAGTGAGTGAAGACTGTGCAGGAGATGGAAAAGGGGGTAGGGTGAGTGAGTGAAGACTGTGCAGGAGATGGAAAAGGGGGTAGGGTGAGTGAGTGAAGACTGTGCTGGAAATGCAAAAGGGGGTAGGGTGAGTGAGTGAAGACTGTGCTGGAGATGGAAAAGGGGGTAGGATGAGTGAGTGAAGACTGTGCAGGAGATGGAAAAGGGGGTAGGGTGAG